TTGATTTTTTTTTTTTCAGTTTGTATTTGCATGTTCACCAATGTCTTCACGTCTACATTTATATTACAAAACAGTGCCCTGATAATAAGAAAAAGAGTATTTTATATTAAGAAGTAAAACTATATTATAAATTAAACCTGCAAATATATCACTATAAAGTATAGCTTCATGCTATTAATTTTTTTATATATAAACAAGAGGTACTGTGAGCTCACTAAATGATACCCCCTGCGTCCCATATGAATATAATGGCAGTGTCCATGTTTTGCTCTGGAAAATCCAAAATACATGTCAGACCAAAACGTAAAATAGAAGTTACACAATGGCAATATGTAATAAAGAGTTTGTGAAAGTTTCATAATATTTTCTTCAGTGGTATGAGAGGAGTTGCGGATAAGAGATGGGTACCCCAAAGCGTAACAGACGGACGGACATACCGATTACTATATACCCTCCCGCTTTTCAAGCGGGGGGTATTAAAATAAAATAAGAGGCCCATGGGCCACATCGCCTACCTGAGTAATTTGGGTGATGCAGTTCTTTACCAGATTGCTATACCTATCGTGCCCCTACCCCCTCCCCTTACATGATTTTAACTTTAGAATCTACTCTACCCTAGGATGCTTCCACGGAAGTTTCAGCTTTCCTGTCCCAGTGGTTCTTGAGAAGAAAATCTTTAAATATTTGTTCTATATATTCCTATGTAAAACTTGGATTCCATATTGTGGCCCCGCCCTACCCCTGGGGGTCATGGTTTTATCAATTTAATATCTACACTACCCAAGGATGCTTCCACTTAAGTTTCAGCTTTCCTGGCCCAGTGGTTCTAGAGAAGAAGATTTTTAAAGATTTGTTCTATATATTTCTATGTAAAACTTGAATTCCCTATTGTGGCCCCGCCCTACCCCCGGGGGTTATGATTTTTACAATTTAATATCTACACTACCCAAGGATGCTGCCACCTAAGTTTCAGCTTTCCTGACCCAGTGGTTCTTGAGAAGATTTTTAATGACCCTACCCTATTTTTGTTTTTTCTTGATTATCTACCCTTGTAAGGGGACTTGGTCCTTCATTTTAACAATTAAAACTCTCCTTCACCCAAGGATGGTTTGTACCAAGTGTGGTTAAATTTGGTTCTCTTCATCTCTTATCCGCAACTCCTCTTATACTACTGAGTGAAATTTAATGAAAGTTTCACAGAATCTGTATTACATATTGTCATTGTGCACCTCCTATTTTACTTTTTTATTCGACACGTATTTTAGGTTTCCCATAGCAAAACATGGCCATAGCCATTATATATGTTTACCTATGACGTCATATAGAAGCTTCTGGATAACATTTGATAGGACGAGTTATTCCTCTTTACAAATTACCGTAAAACAATATATAGCAACACATGGACATTATAGGAGGCGGGGGGTATCATTTAATGAGCTCATTGCTCACAGTACGTATTAGTTTAGTTTTTTTTTTCTTTGCTTTCACTGAATTAAAACACTTTGTATCTGACAGTACCATGCGTTGTTTTAATTGACAATTATTATGTTTTATGTACAATGAAAATCTGGCACTGCATTTTTTAATGTTAAGTAGAGCCAACTGTGCATTTCTTGTCTTTGACACAAAGTTTTCAAAGAACTATATGCGGTATATTGCATATAAGTCAAATTTTGAAAACTTCCTGAAATGTACTGAATTCAATAAATTATATGAGAAATATAAATTAACAGAAAATATTGTAGTGTCAACGCAGTGTATTCACAATTTTTGTTTTTATGACGTCACAAACCAGCCCAATTTTATATCCTTTTTCAGAAAGAGGACAAAATGGACAAAATTTCAACAATTTTAGCTTTAAAACTTATAGAGCGCAAGTTTGTTCGGGAACAATATTGACATATTTCATTGATATTATCATTCTACACATTATATCAAAATATTGATCCTGAACACACATGCGCTCGGTGACTTTTACTCAAAATACAGACAAAATATGCACATTTTTCTGTAAAATTCATAAAAAACTTAAATTTACGTCATGTTTGTGACGTCATTACGTACATCTGGCGTCATTACTTATGAAAATATTCACTGCTTTGTAGTCAGCATATACTCCCCTGTTTAAGAACTTACTTAAATATATCTCCATCAAAGTTTGATTTGGGGGGCAAATATTTGTTATTACCGAATAAAGTTCTTTATAAAAACATATTTAAATACTCTTAAAAAAGTATAATGATAAAAATATCTGGAAAATTTTAAAACATTTGTAACAAAAAGTATACATGCATGTAGCAAAATATCATCTTTGATGTACAATGAAATATATATGGAGAGAACGAACAGCATTCAAGCTCAAAAGTCAAAAAAGCAATACAAAAAAGCAGCAGAGCAAACATGGACCTCCGAAACATCAGAGGTTGGATCAGGTGCCATGGAGGAGTAAGCATCCCCTGCCGACCGATCACACCCGCCGTGTGCTCTTGGTCATGATCGGGAAATAACTTTTTAAAAATCTGTCGTCAATTAAGTGTGTAAATAATGGACTAACAATCAGTATGAAAAACGTCAGTCAGCATTTGAGTCGATGATAAATTGTTTGCTTACGAGGTCATTGTATCGACCATAGAACTTACGAAATGGTGACTTCAAATGACACTGTTGATATTCTTGTTTCATCAACTTGTCAATAATTTACCTCGTTTTAAAAATTGTACATGCGTAGTGCATGCTCTTACGTATCGAATCAACTGAGAGATATAAACTCCGTATGCAGGTGATGAAGGTTTACTGCTGCATAAGTGAGAAAAGTTGACGATTGAAAAGTTATTCGTCACGTTTATCATACAGCTTGGTCGTTAGATTACCATTCACGTCTTTTTCAAGTAAAATATCCAAATATGAAACAGATGTGCCAGACGCTGTGGTATCTTTTATCTCACGTTCACCTGGATATTTCGTATTGACATAAGAATGGAAATTATCATTGTTAATTGAAAATACTTTGTCGATATATGTTAATTGACAATACATTGTCGATATGTCGAGTTGAAGGTCACACCAAGTTTTTTTTTCTTTTCACGCATAAGATTTTGCACAAATTGCTGTTTTGTATGAAATGAAGAATATGTCTGCTAATAACGGGGCGTAATTGGTACCCATGGGGATTCCAATAGATTGTTGAAAAACATGGTCTCCAAAAACACCATAGAATTTGTCAAACAGAAACTCGAGAATCTTTTTGATGTCAAATTCCGAGTAATTGTGTTTTAAATCAGAGTGTTTTTAAAACCAGAAGTCTCTGTCGAGACTGAAGCTCTACTGGTTTGTAATTATAGCAAAGGAAGAGAAAAGTACTTAAGAGCAGTTGGGAATTGAAAGTTTTCAACAGCAATAAATATAATAATGATCCTTGATTAAGTCTCTGTATGTTCTTAGTGTAGTCAACTTAGTTTAGTTTAAAATATATTTTATTCATATATAGAAATGGATTGAACAGCAGGCATAAATGCCTATGATCGTTCTCTCCATGTAGTCTACTTGCATGCCAGATTATATTATAATCAAACTAAAACTGTATTTGGAGTAGCATTTTGAAATACAATGTAATTTCACAGAAATTTCTATTTTTAGTAACCACGGCAACACCAATCATCGGAATCAAAAACCGATATAAAGAATTATGTATCTTAGTGTAGTCTACTTGTGTGCCAAGTTATATTGAAACCAGACCAAAACTGTAGGAGGAGTAGCATTTTGAAAGAATTTCACAGAAATTTCTATTTTTAGTAACCACGGCAACACCTTTCATCGAAATCAAAAACCGATATACAGAATTGAGTATTTTAGTGTAGTCTACTTGTGTTCCAAGCTATATTGAAATCAGACCAAAACTGTAGGAGGAGTAGCATTTTGAAATAATTTCACAGAAATGTATATTTTTAGTAACCACGTCAACACCGTTCATCGAAATCAAAAACCGATACACAGAATTATGTATCTTAGTGTAGTCTACTTGTGTGCCAAGTTATACTGAAATCAGACCAAAACTGTAGGAGGAGTAGCATTTTGAAAAATTGTTTACAGACAGACAGACGGACAGACAGACAGACAGACGGACGGACGACGGACGCATTACTATCGCATAAGCTCTTCTGGTCTCTGACCACTAGAGCTAAAAATAATCTTGCAAATGACGAATTACAAGGTAAGTAAATTTATAATTTCCATTTCCATTGAAAAGGCAGCTGTCAATGATATCAAAAACCTAGACTTTAAGTTATGCCGTGGAATGGTTGTGTATAAAGTTGAAAGGTACTTGAAATTGTAAAAAATAAATAACCTGTTCTCAACTGGAGAGAAAATAAACTGTCCCTATCCAGTGCTCTTAACCCCCCCCCCCCCCCCCCCCCCCCCCCCAACAAATTAGATTTTTGGACTTCAGCGTTTCCTTTTTGCTTTTCCAGTTTATTTTCATTTTTTAAAAGATAAAATGAATAATCTAACTTGGAAAAGAAAAACGTGTCCCTCGCCCCTCTCAGAATCAATTGGTCGTCTAATATGAAATAGTCCGTGACAGTTTTTGAATTTCGATTTTATAATTATTTTTCTGGGAATTTTGGCACTTCTCGACCTAGATTTTTGGCCATATATAAATTATAGAGATGAATAGTTTGTCAGCGGAACTCCTCATAAACCGCTGCTCAGAATTTCGTCAAAATTTGCAGATAGTTAGGAACAATGTTTAGATAATCAAGAAATTCCGATTCCTATAATTTTTCTGGGAATTTTGGCACTTCGAAGTTTTAGGGAGCGTGGGGTATGTGAGCTAACTCATTTTTTCTTTCATTTTTTTTTTACAAAGGATATTGTATTGAGGATTTAAAAAATGAATGATGAAACCATACTTTCTGAAAAACCTTAGATAAATTCTGTTTACAAATAAATCTCCCTTCTCTTTGGTCCGATTTGAACAATTTTTAAGAAAACTTAAAGAATATTTGGCAATTTTATTTTTGTACTCATACCAACGTTTTTCCCCTTGATATTCAAGTACAACATCTACGAAATTGAATTAATATTTATATTTTATTTAATGCTTGGTAAAGTTGAACACAACAAATTCTGCATGTGGCCCAAATTTGTTTACTTAAATATTTACCAAAGACAATGTCATTTTAAAATAAATTAGGTCAGTGATTTCACGATGATGTCCTTAATCAATGTCAGGTTACGCACCCAATGTCTGTGCTGGATATTCGGAATTGCATAGGTTTTTATTCTGTTTTGTTCATCCATGGTTTTTAGCCCAAAGGAATCTTCTTTATAAAACTGTATTCGACAAAAGAAAAATAAAGCATGAACAGGACAAATTGATATCTAGCGAGGTAATAGATATTATCAGTCAAAGTTTTTTCCATGATCGATCTTATCTTACCCTTTGCTCTTTCATTCCTTGCACTTCCCCCTTTTCATTGTAGAAACCAAAGTGACTAAAATATATTTAATAATTTCTTGAAATTCATATTATAATTTTCGATAATGTACGTAATATTATCCTTGTTTTCATTGGCATTTCATTTATTCTTTCTAACCTAATACAACTTATTTTAATTACAAGATTAATTTAGTTACAACAATACCATATAAATACTGCTAATTATAAAAGTCTATTTACATGTATCTCAATTTTTTACCATTGCTTAAAAAACCTTTGGTTTTGGGGCAATACATTTCCGCTATGAATTTAATCGAGTAGGTAACAATTTGTCTTATACATGCATGTTTACAATTATGCTAAAAGAAATCCATGGGAACTACAGAAACTGATAAATATCAGTTTGCACTAAAATACTACTTTATTTGAAATTTTAAAAAGATGTTAAATTTCTTGGTGAATATGTCCTAAAAATTAGAACAATAATATGTGGTTCAGGCTAACATTGAAATTATGAGGGAAAACAGTTAAAAACTTAACCTTGATTGCCATGGTGAAATAACGTCGTCATTGGGACCACCAATCAGGATTAGCTCCTTAATCCGCAAGAAATTTCGTTTGTATTCTGAGAAAGAAAAAATACGGTAAAAATCAAACATTGTATATGATCGATTTCATCCGATTCAGGCGATTGCCGTACAAGTCACTAAATATTCATATCTTTTCTCTCCTTTCCTCTTTAAATAAGCATTATTAAACAAGATATCAGAATAAAGGTAACCAAGTATTTCACAATGTATACTGAAATGAAAAAGAAACGCATAATAGCGAAAAAATATTTAACTATGTGGCCGAAAATTATGAAAATTGATCAGATGTGTATTTTGGTTACTGTGCACTAAAATCGATGGTCAAAATTCCTCAAGCCATTCCAAATTTTTTCTCTGTTTAGCGTCCACCCATCTTTCAAAAACCTACCTACCTATTCGCAAAAAAAACACATAAGCCAAAACATAAAACACAGGCTTAAAAGTCATAAAAATGACGCCCATCAAATAAACTGCTTTAATAGAAGAAATATCTATTCTTAAGCAAAAACAAGGAATTAAATGCTGAAAATACACCCAATATAACTTACTGCATAGAATTATTTGGAGAAATTGACAAAATTAAAAAACTTCGACTAAATTTATAAATTTAAGGTCTCCTGATGTTGTGTTTTCTTCTTATATTGGGTGTCAAAAACCAAGGCGCATGCGGACGCTAAACACAGAAAAATCTTGGAAGGGCCCAATCATGAAATGTATGGTGTCACGTAGGGGATATGATAAAAGCCAAATACACGTGCATGTTGATGATGACAATTTTGTAATCACATTTTGTATTGCAAAGAGATGTATTAGAGTTATAGACATCGTTTTCCAATATTTGCAGTCAGTATAAATTTCTTGCAATCATGGTATGGATGACGGAAGTTACATTGGGTCTAGTAATTGAGTTGCATAAGTGAGCAAGAGGCCCACGGGCCTTATAGGTCACCTGAGCATTATTCAACAACATTCCAGTTATTGAATTTGATTCATGTTTTAAGACAGATGCTATATGGCATTCACAATTTTGAAAGAGGCACCATTGATCATCATAACAATACACTTAGCAGTTGCTTAGCTTGGTTACTGAATAACCATACACAAGGTAGGAGAACAAAAATGCATTCCAACTAATCAATAATATTCAGCAATAATCAGTAGTGCCCCTAACACTGTGACATAAACCCCTGACCCTAGGTCCACACATTGCACAAATTTTAAAAAGGCACCCTTAAAATTGCTTATCAAAAAATTAATAAATGTTTTATAAATACAAAGGAGCAGATTTCAAACAATTAATTCATTTTCAGTATATAAGTAAAGCCCCCCCCCCTGACCTTTGGGCCTTGAAATTCACAATTCTGGAAGATTAGGGCCCTTGCTCATCATCACTATATACGTAGTTCATCTGCCTGCTTCATACCCAGAGACAGAGAAGAAAATTTTCAAAGATTTAATGTATTTTCACTATATAATCAATTAAACCCCGCCCTAACACTGAGAACCCCTGACCCTGGGGCCATAAAATTCATAATTTTAGAAGAGGCATTCTTACTCACCATAACTATGTACTTAGTTAATTTAATTTCTAGGAGCAGAGAAGAAGATTTTCAAAGAATTCATGTATTTTCAATATATAATCTATAGAGCCCCGCCCCAACACCAGAATCCCTGACCATGGGACCATAAAATTCACAATTTTGGTTGAGGCACTCTTGCTCATCATAACTATGTACTTAGTTAGTTTATTTAATATCTAGGAGCAGAGAAGAAGATTTTCAAAGAATTCATGTATTTTCACTATGTAATCTATAGAGCCCCGCCCCAACACCAGAACCCCTGACCCTGGGACCATAAAATTCACAATTTTGGTTGAGGCACTCTTGCTCATGATAACTATGCACTTAGTTAGTTTATTTAATACCTAGGAGTAGAGAAGAAGATTTTCAAAGAATTCATGTATTTTCACTATATAATCAATAGAGCCCCCCCCCCCCCCCCCCAACACCAGAACCCTATATCCTGGGGCCATAACATTCACAATTTTGGTTGAGCCACTCTTGCTCATCATAACTATGCACTTAGTTAGTTTATTTAATACCTAGGAGCAGAGAATAAGATTTTCAAAGAATTCATGTATTTTCACTATATCAACAATAGAGACCCCCCAACACCAGAACCCCTGACCCTGGGGCCATAAAATTCATAATTTTGGTTGAGGCACTCTTGCTCATCATAATTATGCACTTAGTTAGTTTATGTAATACCAAGGAGCAGAGGATAAGATTTTCAAAGAATTCATGTATTTTCACTATATCATCAATAGAGCCCCCCCCCCCAACACCAGAACCCTTGACCCTGGGGCCATAAAATTCATAATTTTGGTTGAGCCACTCTTGCTCATCATAACTATGCACACTTAGTTAGTTTATTTAATACTTAGGAGCAGAGAAGAAGATTTTCAAAGAATTCATGTATTTTCACTATATAATCAATAGAGCCCCCCCCCCTTTACATCAGAACCCTTGACCCTGGGGCCATAAAATTCACAATTTTGGTAAAGGCACTCTTGCTCATCATAACCATGCACTTAGTTAGTTTATTTAATACCCAGGGGCAGAGAAGAAGATTTTCAAAGAAATCATGTATTTTCACTATATATAATCAATAGAGCCCCACCCTAACCCCTGACCCTGGGGCCATAAAATTCACAATTTTGGTAAAGGCACTCTTGCTCATCATAACTATGTACTTAGTTGGTTTATTTAATACCCAGGAGCAGAGAAGAAGATTTTCAAAGAAATAATGCATTTTCACTATATACTTATTTAGCCCCGCCCTAGCACTAGAACCCATGACCCCAGGGCCATGAATTTCACAACTTTGGTAGAAGACTCGATGCTGATTACAATCATGCCAACGGTTTCACTGCTTGATGTCCAGGACTATGGAAGAAGCTTTTCAAAGATTGCATTAACTTTAGTAGTTTGGTCCCACCCCTCAGGCCCCAGGGGGGCAGGGACCATGAAATTCACAATTTTTGTTCCCCTTTACCCATAGATGCCAAATTTGGTTGAAATTGGTTCAGTGGTTGCAGAGAAGAAGTTGAAAATGTTCAAATGTTAACACACGACGGACGACGCACGACGACGGACGAAAACGGATAGCAATAGGTCACCTGAGTTTACTCAGGTGACCTAATAAAAAGGCAACAACATGTTGCTGTGCAGTTTGTTTTTAACTTTTCAACCAAAAAAGTTTTTTCGGTTGTCAGAGAGTAACTTAAAAGGTTTCCAACCAACCATGAGGGTGACGTTGGCGCGTAACAACGTCACATCTAGATAGGGCTTTTCATCATACTACCTAGGGGTGGGACGATATACCGATACATATCGATATTTTCCTCCAAGATACGGCTTACGATACAAGCATTCAAATATCGGTACGAAACGATACACGAACGACCTATCCAAAAATTGAAAATGAAAGTACCTGTCCTTGAAAATGGCTGCCTGTACCAAGCGAAGAGATGGTGTTGATATTGAAAACACACTTTAGAACTAATAAGCCGTTGATTAGGGGTAATACGTTTCACTTCTAAGCAGCCTTGGAAGATTGGACAAGAAAAGTTCAGCGTGCAAAGCGTGCTATACACAGAAAAGTAACGTTTCCAGAACATTTGATATTATTAATTGTTAGTAATCTCAACTTGGCTACAGGGTTTCAGCAATTAATAATAATGTAAATGTGATTTTTTAAAAATGAATTTTTAGTCAGTGTTCGTTGATAAACTACACAACTATTTGTACACAACTTGTTAATAGAAATTTGGTAATATGCACAATTGTCCTGTACTATTGTTTTTGTAAAGTATTAGTCAATGAAGTTGATGAACTTCAAGTAGTAATTTCATAGCACACATGATTTGATATAGAATAATTTTTTGAGTTAATGTCAAGACAAAAAAATCAAATAAAATACTAATTCTTTTGAATAGTTTTATAATTTATCATGTTTAGTCCAGTCAATTTGTCATCAACCCCAAACAAATTGCAACAGAATTTTTTTCTTCATACATAATTAGTAAATAGTATATTAATGAACATATAAAAACTCTAGAAAATTATATGAAGGCGAAAGTTGTTTTTAGCCACTATTAATATTTAGTTTAACTTTGATAAAATATGAATTGCGTAAATGTGCTACCATACACACCAAGGGAGACAATTATTGTCTAAAGTAAACAAAGAAGTTCATGTAATAGAGATGCATAAATCATTTTATATCAGCTTAGGTTTGTATCTGTTCAATATAGGTATATGTTTACATATGTCAACTATCACAAAAGTCTATATATTCTATGTCTGTACTACCATATCAGCATGACAGATTTAATACTTGTGTCAAATATTCAATGATTCACATTAAAATACTGGGCAATTACAAATATACATTGTTCTAGCATATTACTAATTCAAACTGCTCAGCTTTATAACCTCACAGTATAATGAATCTTACACATTTAAGGTAGGTCGCGGGTTTACTGCATAAAAATTCTTACGAGAAAACATATCCTGAAAATTTGATATAATGTTCCTTAGAATTTACAGCGTATTATATGCAATTTTTATTAAGTTTGTCTACGTAGTTTTAATGCTATAGTACCGTAAACGCGGTATGGTTTTTAATACTTTTTTACGCTTTACTATTGAAGTATATGGGAAAATGACGTTTTTAAGCAAATTTTGTGAAAATAGTTTCTTTTAAAATCGTTGAATAACTTTTAAAAGACGTAGACGAATTAGCCAGGAATTTCAAAATGTCAAGATGAGGTGAAATCAAAACTATTGATATGAAAAAATTAATATGTCTTCTCGCTAGATTTTTTGCTAAATAATTTCAAAGTTTGCTTTTATTTTGCTAAGATGTTGCATTTATGGCGTCATTCATGTCTACAACGTCATAAGTTGAACGAAGTTACGTTTACAGTACGAGTATGAATAACATTTAGAATATGCAAGATTTAAAAGGTCACATTAACTGGGCATCCTTTT